CCCCGCGTGCGCGGCCCGGGAACGGGAGGGGCGCCCGCGCCTACCGATCCTCGCCCACGGCCTCGCCCTTCTCTGCCGGCCGGCCCGGAGCATCTCGAGGGGGCGAGGGGGCGGTGTCCACGCGGGCTGGGGGCGCAGCCATGGGACTTGGGCCTCTCTGCGGGCCCGGCGTGAGGGTGGGGCGCGCACGGGCCGCCGGGAGCGGAGGTCCCGCTCCGCCCCCTGGACTACAAGCCCCACAAGGCCGCGCAGCTGCAGGACCCCGAGTCTGGTCGGACCCGGAGTGCAGCCGCCGCCACGTGCCGGAAGGACCCCGCTCTTACCACAAACTCAGCCGCACAGACGCCCTGGAAAAAAAATCAATAAACATTTATTTGATACAGTCATTTTTAATACATACAGTGGTGGCCACCCCCACGCCACTCGGGGGCAGGGCCGGGGTGGGGACAAGAACCAGGGACAGATGGTCACAAGGCGGGCGGCCCGAGCTCACCGTAGGAACATTTTGCAAATAAACACTTTGTAGATAGAATATATATGTATATATATGGTTACAAGTGATAGCTGGAACCTCTCTTCGAAATGCACTTATGTACTGAGAACCGGCATTAAAAAACCCAAACCAAGAAACCCAAAGCATAGAACGAGGGCCGCCAGGCAGGCAGGGTGACCTGCAGCCCTTCTGAGCCTAGGCCTCCAGGGCCAGCTGCCTGGGGCCACCTAGCAGGGCACAGGGACAGCTTTCCCTTCCTGGGGTCAGGGCACAAGGCCTTCTTCCCTTTGGCACCCCAGGCCGAGGGCCATAGGTCACACGGGAGGCACCTTATCTGCCTTTGCATGAGCAAATAAAGTGCATCCTACTTTTGTGTTAAGTGTCAGCCCCTAGAGTCAGCCCTTCCAGGCACTCTCCTGTTCTCGGAGCAGGGGGGCACGCTGAGCCAGAGGTAGATCCGCAGGAAGGGCCCCCGCTGGGCAGGTCCCACGCTCATCACCGTGCTGAGGTCTGCCATACTAGTCCCTCTTAACTGAGGGCTTCCTGGAGGCCGGTGGTCACCTAGCTTTGTGTGGGCCAGGGCAGGAGGTAGGCAGACCCCGCTGAGCTCTGGCCAGGGCCCTACCCCACAGGGAGGGCTCTGCAGACCAGCTCACTATCAAGTGGGAGACAGGGAGGGTAGAAAGGTGGATGGGGGGGCCTCAGACCCAACAGCCACATTGGCAGCAGCCCCCACACCTACTTTAAAGACAAAGCAGGGGGTTAAAGTGCTAAACATCAAGTTAACCAGGAACCCCCTTCCCACACCAGAGACTATCTGGGGGCTTTGGGGGTGTCCTGGAAACTCACCCCCCAGCAAAAACTAGACCTCCTCCTCCTCTCCCCAAGGGCCAAGTACCTGAGAGGTTGGGGTGGGCACCACACCTTGCAGAGTTGAGGTCTGACCTCCCACCACTGGTAACAAGGACAAAATGACCTAGGCCCTTCCGCCAGGGCCTGCCCACCCCGAGGCTGCCCCACAGCAGATGCAGACCCCACCTAGCCCTGCTGCACCACAGTGAAGTTTAGTAATACAGGAGAGAGGCCGCCCCCCCTTGGCGCTGGATCACACCTGTCTCTGCCCAAGCCCCCACCTTGGATCAGATCACACCCCACCCCCGCCAGCACATCAGGCCAGGGACGCTGAGAATCAGAGCCTTCTGGCCACAGGAAAAAGCCACAGACAGGAGGAGCATGTAACCCCAGCTCCAAAGCTCCCCTGGAACTTGTCTCTGAGGAGAGCCTACTCCAGCGGGGCCCCTCTCCCTGGGGACTGGGTGAGATGAGGTGCTGGGAAGCATGGGAGCCTGATGGACCCCAGCCCCAGAGGCCCACAACCAGCCCAGCCCAGCTCCCAGACCCACTGTCGGCACCAGGAAACCCTTAGCACCAAAATGTCAAATTTTGAGTTTTTGTATAAAAAACAGAATTTTAAAAAAAGTTGTTACTTGTCACAGCAACAAGACTGGCATCCACTACACCCAGGAGACACACGCACACGGGCAAATATCAAAAATCACATCGTCCAGGATAGGTGAGGACGAGCTTTCAGCCCACCCCTCCCTGCTAGAAATGGCCTCCCTCCACACCCACCCTCTCTGCGCATCCCCTCCCTGCAGTGCTAGTGGGAGGTGAGGCCCAGGGAGGAAGCCAGAGGCTGTGTGACCTCCTCCTCCAGGCATCAGACTCCCTGCCTGACCCATGCCCAACCTGCAGACCCAGCCATCCTCAGGGACCCAGCGCCAGTGAAGACAGAGCCTGCAGCTGCCACTCCCTTGCTGTGACCCTGGCCAAGCCCCCTCCCCTGACTGGCCACCTGAATCAAATGACCACACAACCAGAAACAAAGGAGCAGGTTAAAAAAGGAGGGGGAGGGGATCCTGTGGATGCCTGGCCACTGAGCCAACCCAGATTGGCAGACAGAGGGCTGCTATCCCCCAGTGGCTCCTCAGAGCCAGGCCTGCTCTGTCCAGTTTTCTGCCCACATGCCCATGGGCCCTGGTAGACTCCAGAGCCCAAATTAGTCCTGTCCCAACCTAGGCCAGCAGTGCACACTCCAGGGTTCCCGAGTCCCCAGGGCTGAGAGCTGCATCAAGGGCCTCCAGCTCCTGCTTCTGCAGCCCCAAGGGCAGGAGAGCAGAATCCCTCCCTTATGCCATGCTGTAAGCACTGCACACAGGCCATTGGGGCAGAGCCTGAAGCACAGCAGGGATTCCATGGACAGAGGAGCGGGGTGCTGCAGAGGTAGAAAACAGAAGTGGGGGGGTAGTTGGGGGGGCGCCTGGTCAGGTCAGCTCGGCAGTGGTCAGACAAGGTCTGTCCTGGGAGGTAGCTGGGGGGTCCAGAGTTCCAGTGTTGGGTGGAGGTGAGGCCAGGAGGGTGGCTGCCAGGCTGCCTGGGCACCCTAGCCAGCCCAGAACCATGGGTCACCAGAGGTGCCTGAGCCTTGGGGGAGATAGGGTGGGGACCCAGCGGGGCCTGAGGGCACAGAGATAGGGCCAAGGTCAAGTACCTGCTCTGCCCCACAGCCCCTATGGCCCAAGGCCCCAGACACATTCCCGAGGGGAGCGCTGGCCCTCCTGGCTATTGCACTTCTGCTGGGCACCCTCTGGGGAGTCCCAACCCAGGTGTGCCCTGGGGCCACCTCAGCAGGAGAAGGGCCACCTTCAGGGAGGGAGAGTGGCTGGCCACCTCCACTAGACGGATGACGAGGTGGGGTGAATGATGGAGAATCAGAGGGCAGGTCTTGGAGCTGGCTACTCCGCCTGGACAGAGTGGGCACAGTAGCCGGCAGGGTCAGGACCCACCCACCAAGCTCACTTTTCAGGTGCTTTACCAGCGCCTGCCTTCCGACCAGTGGAGCCCCGGACCCCTTTGTCTCTGCATCCCAGGGGCCAGTCATCCCGCCGGGGGGGCAGCTTGGGCATGGGATCTTCAGGGGATCGATCCTTGGGTTTGCGGCCCCTCTTCTTCCCGCCTGCCAGGCTTTTCTTCTTTTCCTTCTTGGGCACCACCGAGTCCTGGCTCCTGTGTTTGGGAGGTGGGTCTGCTGAGGTGCGGAACCAGTTCTGGGGAGAGAGACGTGGTGATGAAGACCCAGGACGGGGGACACGCAGCACCAGAGCCAGGCGTGACCTGGGAGCCCACACCCTGGCCCAATGCAGCCTCTGGAGCAGCAGACAATGGTAGCGAGGCAGCTGAAGGGCAGGCCCCTACCAGGACAGTTCCTGCTCAGGGTGCCCGGGGCAGAGAGCAGGGGACCAAGCCTTCCAGCTCTTCCAAGGAAGCTGGAGGCCACTCTGAGGAGAAACCACCAGATGTCTCCCACCAGATGTCTCCACACTGGCCACTTACTCAGACACCCTCATGCAGGCTATGGGCCTCTCCCTGCCTGGACCCGCCCCCTCCTGGGCCAGCCCCTGGCCCCAGGCCTAGAGACAGCCCCGCACCTCTGCATGGGTCTTGAGGATGTGGTATTTGACGCCACTCTCTGAGCTGAACTCCTTTGGACACAGCAAGCAGCGGTACTTCCCCGCCAGGTGGGGCCCCTGTAACACACAGGCAGGCCCGTTCCCAAAGGCAGGATCTAGCCTTCACCCCGGGGCTGGAGGGGCAGAGGCAGGGATAGCCAAAGAAAAGCTGTGGCTATCTGTGCCAGGATGGGCGCCTGTGGGGGGCCTTCAGGGACCCACGAGATCACTATGTGGCAGGACTGCCAAGGCACTCCCGCTGCAGGGAAGGTGGGGTGTGAGGAGGGGTAGAGATGTAGGTGCCCAGGAGAAAGGTTGCAGACCTTTGCTGAGGGTACCTTATTCTACACTAGTGTACCCTGGGGTTGGAGTTGGGGTGACTGCTCGTACCCACATAGACAAGAAGACCCAAGGACAGGACTGGGATCCACTGGCTATGGCTGAGGATAGGGGCCAGTGAGGTGTCTTGGGTGGCCCCATGGGAAGCAGGGCTGGGTCTCACACTCACATGGGGGGATCCTGGCCCGGCTAGAGTGAGCTGGGAGCTCTGAGCATCCCACCTAGCCAACAGGGGAGGCTCTGGGACTAACCTTGCTGCAGCTGGCGAGATGGGCCTTGAGTCCCGACACGCTGGAGTAGATGGCTTCGCAGCACTGCAGGGGAGGCAGCTGTGGGCAAGGGATACCCCGCACCCCACACCAAATGCATCCTTGCCCCAGCCCCGGGGAACTCTGAGGCCTCTGGGGCAAGTGGGGGCCTGACCCCAGGAGTCTTGCAGAGTGAGCAGGCTGGGCACGGAGGGTCTGAGGTTGAGGTCCCCAGAGGGGCCAAAGGCCAGAGGGTGGTTGGTCACCTCCTGACAGGTCTCAGTTTCAGTCTCTCTCTGGCCCAGAGGGCCTCACCTGGGCTCTCTGTTCATGTGCCGTCTCCCCACCCCCACTACCAGTCTGCCCCAGCTCACGTCATTGGGGCAGTTGATGTGGCCTTTCTCCTTCACTTCATTCTTCCAGGCTTCCAGCAGCTGGGGGTTCAGTGTGGGGAGCCCTGGTCGGGTGTAGTTGAGCTGTAAAGTCGTAACACAGCACCAGGTAAGCCTTAGGCCCAGAGAATACTGGCTGCTCTAAGAAGACTGTGCTGTGGCACAGATGGGGCAGCAGAGAATCCAGGCCACAGGGGGTGGCTGTCACAAGGACTTGGGCCAAGACATGTCCAGATGCCAGGAGGTCGTGGGCTCAAGGAAACACAGACACAAGGGGCGGGTGGCTTACGCGTGCGGTCTCAGGTACAAGGTCATCTTTCATGCGCCGCTTGGTCCAGTCTCGGGCCAGCTCATCTTCTGCAATCTCCTGCAGGTGGAACACAGCAACCTGGGCCGACGTGCGGCGGATGCGCCCACTTGGGGTCCGCTCCACACCCAACAGGTCCTCAGCCTCTGGGGGCTTGTCCATGGGCTCCTCGGGGGGCTGAAGGGCAGGAACGCACAGAGGCCAGAGGAAGCCGTGGGAGCAAGACAGCAAGAAACAGCAGGTCAGGATCAGGGTCAGAGTGAGGTGCAGGTCACATGTGGCAGGTGGACTCAGGACACACAGAGTGTTGGGGACATGGGCGACATAGGCAGTCTGAGGGAACACAGAGGCATGGGGTCCAGGGCCCCTCCTCACTCCCGTCCAGGACACGTCTCTTATAGAAAGGAATGGAGGACACACGTATCAGGTGACACATGGACACATATGCTCAGTGCCCATGGGATGTGAGGACACATGTGACACACAGGACAGCGCATGGTGAAACAGCACAGACATGAGGCCCACAGGTGATCGCAGGCCACTCACCGGGGCTGTGTGCTCTGAGCGCACGTGGTAGTCGTGGCCAGCCTTGGAGCGGTAGGTCTTGCCGCAATGGGCGCAGGGGAAGGAGGGACTGTCCACCTCACAGGGTGGCTTCCCACAGCGCCGCTGGTGGTACTGGTAGCCCATGAGGCTGGAGAAGGCAGCCCCGCAGCCCTGGGGGGCCAGAGGGCAGGTGAGTAGCCAGTGAGGAGCCAGGCCCAGGGCCCCGCCAGTGTCCCCCTACTGACCTCCTGAGGGCAGCGCAGTCGTCCCATCTGCTTCAACACCTTGCGCAGCCGCTCACGCTCCTCCTGCTCACCCCCCTCGGAGGCCTCGGTATCAGAGGGCTGGGGACAGAGTGAGCCTCAGTGCCCCACCACAGGGCCCTGCTCCTGCCCTGCCAGAGCTTGGGTCACAAGGTCAGGTGAGGGGTGCTGCAGTGGGGGTGGAGCAAGAGGTCAGAGGTCAAGACTAGGTGGGAACTGGGGCCGGGTGGTGTACCTTGGCACTGTGTTCAGCCATGGTGTGGTAGTTGAGGCCGGCTTTGGACTTGAACTGCTTCCGGCAGTGCTGGCACTTGAGTGCATCCTGCAACTGCAGACACAGCCCCCCCTCCCCGTGAGAAGCTCTGCCAGGCTGGGGGCGCCTCCCTCCTGCACCTGTGGGGCAGTCTTACCTTCTGACACACCTCCATGTGCTTCTTGAGTCCCACGAGGGTCTTGCGGGTGACTACATTGCAGGTGGGGCAGACAGCTTCCCCCCGCTCATGGATGGCTCGCTGCCACTGTTCCTCGGGGCCACCTGTAGGCAGGGCAGGGGCCTCAGAGGTTGGTGGGGACTCCTGGATGTCCGGGTTGCCAGGCACAGAGCCCAGGGTCCACACTCAGCCCCTGCCCTGTGCTGTGGGGACCTCACAGTCAGGACAGCTCTGGGTCCCTGCAGGAGCTCCTACCTGGGGCTGGATGGGCCACAGGGGTCGGTGCCTCCTTGCTGACAGAGATGGGGGCAGCCAGTACCTTCTTCCGTACATCCTCAGACCCCAGCCCCTCCTGCTTCTTGGAGCGGTGAACTCGGGCCTTGTCCTCAGCTTTGGCCAGGCCTGTGTGCACACGCAGGCAGGGTGGGGAAGACCCAGGCTGAGGGGCTGACACACTTGTGAACACACCCAGCCCTGGGAGTGCCCACCTGGCCAGGGTCTCACCTTTGAGTCCAAAGGTCCCTGAGATGGATGGCTGCTCCCCTGTAAACTTCTTGGGTGTTTTCTGTTTCCTTCCTGACTCGGGGAGAGAAAACAGGGCCAAGATTCTGGTCAAATAACCATCAGGAAGCTGGAGCCCCCCACCATAGCCCCCAGGGCTCTGGTCTTACTGTGCTTTGTGCGCTCTGGGTCCTCCTCGGGCGGGGACGCAGGGCCTGTGGCCCGTAGTGCCTCCTTGCCCCCTGACGGCCTGCTGTCCAGTGACAAGGAGCCGCCACTGGGCTCTGCACTCAGCTGCAAAGCTGAGCTCTGGCCCAGGCTGGCTGGTCCATACTCTCCATTCTCTGGCCTTGCCTGCTTGGGCGGGATGGGGCAGGTGTCCAGGCTGTCTGCAGTCCTGCAGGGAGCAGGTGAGTGAGGGCCAGGAGGGCCCGACTTTGGGCCCTGTCACCCCCGTGCCATGGTGGAAGAGTACCCCACCTGGCTCAAGCCCATACCTTTTCTTTCCACTGCTCCTGCATGAGGCGCGGGGTATTCTGTTTTCCGTTTTGGTCAGCAGCACCATTTTGCAGGGTGGTGTGTGTCTGCCAAGGGCAATGGGCCTGCTGACTGTCACCGGCTTGCTGACTACAAGGGGCCTGCTGACTGTCACTGGCTTGGTCACTGGCACAGGTTTCGTAACTGTCACAAGCTTAGTGACTGGAATGGGTTTGGTGACCGGCACAGGTTTGGTGACTGGCACAGACTTGGTGACTGTAATGGGTTTGGTGACTGGCACAGGCCTGGTGACTGGCATGGCCTTGGTGACTGGCATGGGCCTACTGACCGTGACAGGCTTGGTGACTGGCACGGGCCTAGTAACCGGCATGGCCTTGGTGACTGGCATGGGCCTGCCAACTGTGACTGGTTTGCTGATGCCAATAGGCTTGCTGACACCCACAGGTTTGCTGATAGTGACCGGCTTGCTCACGCCAATGGGCTTGCTGACCCCAACTGGCCGGCTGATGGTGACTGGCCGGCTGACGGGCCCGGGTTTGGGGGCAGGCAGGGGTCGGTCCATGTGGTTCCAGATCCGGTGCTTCTCCAGCTGGGTCTTGGAGGTGAACGCAGCCTCACAGAAGGGGCAGGGGAAGGCCAGCCGATCCGAGATGGCACCCTGGAGGGAAGGCAGATGTGGGATGGGGCCCTGAGGGTCTCTGCCTAGACACACCCCCAGGCTGCTTCTTCCCGACCCGCAGTCCCTTACCCCTTGGCACCGCTGGTAATGGTACTTGAGCCCGTAGATGCTGGGGAACTCCAGCCAGCACCCCGAGTTTGGACACTTCACCCTCGAGTGTGCCTTGAACTCATCTTTCCACTGGTTCATCAGGGAGAGCTGGGCATGGGGAAAGGCCGCGCTGCTGACCGCGGTCACTCAGGCCCTGCCAGCCCCAGTCCCAGACTCAGAGCCCTCCCTAGGTCTGCAGGACATGCACTGTGTGAGCCCCTCAACCTTGGAGTGCAGCCAGAATTCATGCCACCAGGGTGGTACCATACTGAGACCTGTTCTAAGAACCTACCAACATGACCCCTGGGGCCTCACGGCAGACATGAGGACCCCAGGTTGCCTGAGGCCCACCAGGCCAGTGCTCACACCTTGAGGCATAGAGCTGGTGCAGGATGTGTGGAGGGCAAGTTAGGGCAGGGCCGTGGTCGGATAGGGAGATCTTAGCACCAGCCCCACCATGGCCCTCAAGGAGCTCACAGGAATGTCTCGGAGAGCTTGGTTCTCAGCTTTTGGCCGTCCTTTCTTCTTCCCTTCTGTTCTGTCGCTGGCTGGACTTCCTGGGTCAAAGCAGAGTGAGGCTTGGCCAGGCACTGTCTGTCCACCACGGACCACCGGCATCCCTACAGCATATGACACTGAGGCTTGGTGGCTGTGCAACGCTGCCTGCCACCTGAACTGCTCGGGTCCAGAGGGAGCCTCCCTTCCCCGACACCAAGGCATGGAGCAGGAACCATGGACAGCGTCGGACAAGAACCCAGGGGCCCAGCTATGCCCAAGATGACCCCCACCTGGGTAGGCCCTCAGGAACTCAAGTGCCCTAGTGGGTACCCAGGACTGAACTCCTGTGGAGGTGGCCCACTCCTGCCACCTGCTGCCCACAACTACAGCTTTTACCTGACTCCTCTTACCCAGCTTTGGTGGATCATGCAGCATGGGAAGTCGGACCTCCTTCCGGCTGCTATCCTTCCCGGGTCCACTCTTGCTGGACCCCTGGAGCCGACGACCTCCAATGCAGAAGGGATCTGTCATCTCTGCAGAGCAAATGGACAGACCTCTGAGGCCCAACAGGCCTGACTCAGGATGTGGTGGGGCTGCCCTGGATCCTTGCCCTTCCTGCCAAGGAAGGGGAGTCTACCGTCTTGTGTTCTGAGTTACATGGGAAAGCAAGAGATAGGGAGGAGCTGCCCAGTTAACACCTCCCCAGGTAGTCCAGGAGGCACCATCAGTGTGGAAGGACCTGATCCTGTCCCAAGACCCTGAGACCCTCACCCGCTTCAGCAGTCTCCCTCAGTCCCAGACACAGTTTCACGGCTCATGCACGCCCACCCTGCTGGGTGGGGCTTATCCCCAGGAAAGGTGGCTTGTGTGGGGAGAAGGAGGCTGACCACATCCCTGGGGGGGGGGCAGTTATGACAGGGCGATGGCTGCTAGCTCACCTGCCTGGCTCTGGCACAGGGGGACACCTTCTCTCACAGGACCCACGCCCTTCCCACCCAGACCCGATGCAATGCCAACCTCCCCGAGAGAGCACCCCTGGACCCCTCTTTCCAGACACAAACAGAAAACAGCCAAGAGAGTGCTGAGGGCCCCAGCCCGCTTCCCTTTGCATGCATTCCCTTCTGGTGTAGACTGAGGACCCCACTGCACAAGGTGAGCCATCCTACCTGTCCTTCTTCTCCACCTCGTCTCCTCTGCCTGGACAGAGGCCTTGTGTTCAGCCCTCGCCACCCCTGGCTGACCTCTCCCTCGCCTCCACTCTCAAAGCCCCTCAGTTCCTTGCCCACAGATCCAGCAGTACCACTTCAGCCAAACACGTCAAGGTAAGCACAGGCAGTAATGACCCAGGCACAAGAGACTGCCAGGCTACTGGCCGGAGAACACCCTGCTGTCCCAGGCTGGGCCTCCATAGGCCTGTCTTCTGGGGGGACCCCATCCCAAGAGTGGGGAGCAGATGAGGACTCTGAGCCCACCTCTGCTGGGTCCTCCCCCAGGGAAATCCAAAGCCATGGAAAGAGATGGTGCCAGGAAGCAGGGTGAGGGTCACAGGAGCAGATGGCCCCTCTCCTGACAGCTTGCCGTTAACTTAGATCAGAGGAGATGGGAAGGGGCTGCTGTGTCCAGGAGGGCCAGAGGGATGAGGTCAGAGGTCAGGATAGTCACTGCCCATTGCCAAGAGGGGAGTGCCAGTGTCCTGGGCCTAGAACATGCAAACAAAGTTCTCTGAAGTCCTCACTTTGCAACTCCGAAAGGAGACAGAGCCAGCATGAGTCATCCCGGCCCCCCCCCCGTGACTAGGGGGGCAGATGCCTACTGGGCACCCCCTCCAATTTTTCTGAGGCCTGGGCAAAGAATTCAGAGTTGCGGGGCCTGAGACCAGGGCCGGCCTGGGAGGCGGAGACTCTCCTTCCATCCCGGGCCAGCAACTCGCAAACCAAGATGAGAACGAGCGAGTTCAGTAAAACCACGAGCCCCCACAGGGAGAAGGGGCCCCGCCACGCTAACCAAAGGCGACGCCGCAACGGGACCGCAGAGAAGGCCGCTCCGCCCGGACCCC